CCTCCTCAGCAAACGGGGCGGCGGCGGCGGCTCGGCTAGGGGCCGGGCTGAGCCCGGGGGGTCCGGCCCAGCAGCAGCGGCCCGGATCGCTAGTGGGGGAGGGGAGGGAGGGGCAGGGGAGAAGGGAGGGGCTGGAGGGGAAGGGGGAGCCTAGGGGGAGGGGAGGGACCAGGGGGCGCGAAGAAGGGCGGAGAGGCTGGTCGGAGCCCCCCGCTGCTGTCTGCCCCTGGGCGGCTGGACCTGGAGACGCAAGTACGTCCAGGGACTGGAGCCCCGGGCCAGGGAGGGGCAGAGGCTGGCCCCTTCTGAGGCAAGGGTGAAGACTTGTCTTTAAGGATGACAACGGGCAGGAAGGCCTGTCAACCAGTCTCCCCTGACTCCCGGCCTACAGTGCCTCTCAAACCTCACACCCCCCACTTTCACTGCCCAGCAGTGTCCCCCCCTCTTCTTTAAAGGTCTGGCCTCACCCCTGTTCCCCCAGGGAAAGAGACTTAGCCAGAAACACAGTATTCCCCTTCTGTTTGGTGACATGTTTCCCTCCCTACTGTTACCTGTCTTCAGGCCCATCCAACCATCATCGTGCCCAGTCTGACCTGCTTTCTTATCCTATTCTCCACCCAGGAGGCCCTCAGCCTAGTCCACTCCAGCCCCAGCCTCCTTTGTCTTAGATTCCTGGTCATGACTGCCTCCCTGTCCCCTCCACCCCCACAGGCCCACCATCCTCCCAACCACCCCAGCACCCTCCTTCCTAATCTTGGGAGGCATCTCGTCTGGCTGAACTGGAGAATTCCGGGATCTAGGCCATACTCCTAAGCAGACAGCCCCATCCTTGGGAGGAGGAGCAGGAGAGAGCCTGAGGAAGAACTGGGGGGAGGAGAGGTTTGATGGGAGCAAGGTCAGGCCAGGAGGCCCCTGAGGACAGAGACTGTGGGGAGACTGGGGTTGAGGGGAAAGCAAAAGAATTAGCGCCAAGCAGGGCCAAAGGAAGAGGGGGGCTGGAGAGGTATTTGCGGGGGAGGTTCAGCAGCTGTCTTTCCTAAGACAGGGACACATGGGCCTGGTTATTCCTCTTGTCACATGCAGTGTGGTAGGATACGGAAGAAGGAGAAAGCATGAGCAGTGAAGGAGAGTACAAGCACAAAGTGGGCTTAGCTGAAGGAGCCAATGGACCTCAGCAGAGGAGCACCTGAGCCCAGCACACGCCCTTCACCTCATAGCTCTCTTAAACTGTCCAAACTCTTTCCAATCGCACTGCCCCCTGACAGTGTCATTCTCTAATACAGGCCATGCCCCCTTGCAAAGTGGATCTAAGACAGGACCCCCTAGACAGTATAGGCAAGAAAAGGAGGAAAGCAAGAGTCCTGCTGGATTTCAGCAGCAGGTGTGCGGTATCTAGGGGAAAGAAATGTGAACAGTCAGGAGCTGAAAAACCTACCAATCTAAAACTAGATAGACCTCTCTGCCTCTTCTCCTGGGACAAAAATGTCCTGCCAGATTCCTCCTGGAAAAAAACCTCAGTTCCCCTCCGATCTCCTACCCCCAACCAGGTCCCAGCCTTCCCATCTCCTAGGAAAAGATGGATCCTTCTATTCAAATCTACCCTGTGGTGTGTGGGGGTGGTGGAGCTGGGCTTTGCTAGTGGACCATGGTCCAGACAGGGGCTCCAGGTCCAGCGAGGGTGGGAGGAGAAGGCGTCACTTCCGGGGGCCCTCGCCAGTGTCTGGTGGCTCTCTGCTCTCTGATTGGGCAGAAGTGGCCTGGGCAGGCTTGTGACCCCATTGCCGTGGAGGGGCTATGCCCCAACGCCACCTGCCTTCCTACCCATCTGCTCCCCAGAGTGCTGCCTGCTCTGCACCTAGGTCCTGGAATCCTTCTCTGCCTGGTGAGTGGCCAGCAGGCTTTGGAGTTAAGCGAGGGTAGAAAGGACAGGAAAAGGAATTGGGCTTTCTGCTGGGGGAGGGGCAGGCAAACTGGAACCTACAGGCACTGACCTTTGTCGAGAAGAGTGTAGCCTTCCCAGAATGGGAGGAGCAGGACAGAGCAGGGGTAGGGGGTGGGGTGTTGGTTCTGTGGGATTGAACAGATTTGGTGGAATACAGCACAGCCCGGGCTGACCCTAGAGAAAAGGGCCATCAATCCAGGGAGAGAATAAGAAAAGGGGTGCATTTAGGGCTTAGGGAATGCAGCACCGAGATGAAACAGCCCCAGTCCCCATTTTACCCAGTCACCCCTAGTTAGCTTAAAGTTCTGAATCCTGGGGCGGTGGGAAGTAGCTGGGTCAGGCAAGCTAGAGCCCAAGGAGAGGGGAATGGGAGGGGGGCCCAGGCATGTTGACAGACCTACAGGAAATCCCAATATTGAATCAGGTGCAGGCCTCTTTGCACAACTTGTGAAAGAAGGAGGAAACCATGTGGGGGCATGTGAAAGAACCGGAAGGGCCTGCAGAGGGGGCAGGGGGAAAGGTGCAGCTATGGCACAGACATGGTGGGTGTTTAAGGGGAGCTCAGCCACACGTTAAATGGTCATCACCTGACTCAGCAGGTGCCTGTCCTGGCCAACTTGCCTCAGGAAGGAAGTGCCTGTACTGTTAGCCCATCTCTTTGCTTTGGATAATCAGGTATTTCAGAACTCGGAATGCAAAGGAAAACTCCAAGAGCCTTTATTGGGTGGTGTGGGGTGTAAACATGCAATGGGAGGTTAACTTTTCTGACACCATCTTCTCTTAATCTTTTGAGCACTGACCTCTTAGTAGTCCGGTTTTATTTTTGCCCAAAGCCCCACCTCAGCCCCATTCCCTAGACTACTCCTTAATACAGTATCCATGTTGCTCATCCTGTTCCTATATCCTGCTTTCTACTCTCTCCCCCTGGGCTTGTGTCATAATACTTCCATTCTGTGTCCCCATCCCAAAGGTTCTCCAGCCAAACAAGGTGCTCAGAATCTGAGGCCAGTCAAGATGTGTGTGCACATATCCTGTCCCGCTGCTCTCAACAGAAGCCAGCAGACCCCTGTCAGATTCAGTGAGGACCCATGACAAATGAGAGGCCCACAGAGCTTTAGTAGTTCTGGCTGATCAGCACCTCAAGCCCTCCCAGCATCTTTTCCCCCAGGCAGAATCTTTTCCTTAAAACTTGGTTAAGGCCCTCTCTGGTGATGCAACAGATTAGGATGCAGCACTGCAAGCTAGCCGCAGCCCTTTCAGCATGAGTTTGATCCCCACCCCCGGAGGTGACCCATGTGGCGTGGCAGGCCTCTCCTGACCCACCCACCCGTCCCCCAGTGTACTTCTCCGATCAGCCTGTTCTGCTCCCCACTCTGTCTCTGGTGAGTTCTCTCACTGCCCCTGCACCTCTGGCCTATACCCCAGTTCTGTATGCATAGATAAATCTTAAAAAAAAAAAAAAAAAACTCTATTAAACAAGGCCCACCCTGGTAGCACTACGAAGCTAGCCACAGCTACTTGAACGCAAATTTGATCCCACAGCAAGGAGCTGACCCACATGGCACAGCAGACCTCTCCTGACCCACCCACTGCCCCCCTCAGCAGTGTACTTCATTGATCTGCCTGTTCTGCCCCCCACTGTGTCTCTGGTGAATCCTTTCACCTTCCCTGCACCTCTGGCCTGTACTCTGGTTCTGTATGCATAGATAAATAAATCTTTTTTTAAAACACCTTGATTAAATGTTCCTTATTCTTGTCAATTTCAGGATAGATTCCAGACCCTCTTCCTTGGCCCACCTGTGCCCCACCCTACTCTGCCCATAAGTGCAAGAGCCCAAGCCGCCTCCATGGCCCCAGGAAGGACTCAGGGGAGAGGCCCCATTCAGGGAGCCACTCCAAACAGACTGCCGGGCCAGAATGGAGCTGACTGGTAAGACACTTGAGGGACGCAGGGACAATGCATAACTGATAATGGGGGAAGGATGAGGAAACCCAGTCTCCCAGGAATAAGGCATCTGTGGCAGATTCCTGGATTTCTGAGCTGGGTCCTAAATAGGGTTTCCTGGACCCCTACCCAACAATGATTTCTTCCTTATCCACTCTTTTCGACCTTACCTCTCCTCACCTAAGAGTTGCTCCTCGTGATTATGCTTCTCCTAACTGGAAGACTAACTCTGTCCAGCCCGGCTCCTCCTGCCTGTGACCCCCGACTCCTAAACAAAATGCTTCGTGACTCCCATGCTCTTCATGGCAGACTGGTGAGAATCCCCAAGCACTCTCCCCTCTCTCCATTTAACTGGTAAGATACCCTCACTCCCATTACTCTCTCACTCACTGATGCAATCACTGTTCTTCCAACAGTGACTTTAGTAAGACCACTACTTCTGGATTACCACTCCTTGACAAAGATGATGATTTGCAGTCAAGCCCTCTTTTAAAAGCTCTAGTCTGAATATACTACTTATGGAATCTATGCTGGCCATTGGGCCACCATGCCTCTGTTTTCAGCTCCCTCCACCCCCCAATCTTTTCAACAGAACCAGTGCCCAGATGTTAACCCCTTGTCTACGCCTGTCCTGCTGCCTGCTGTGGACTTCAGCTTGGGAGAATGGAAAACCCAGACGGTAAGAAAGCCATCCCTTCCTGGATTTCCCTAAGACCTGTCTTCTTTCATACCCTAATGCTTCCCATAGATTCTTCAAATTTCTGAGTTCCCTAAAAAACATCATACCTTCATCTAGGCCATCCTAACACAATCTGTATTCTATTATGATTATTTATCCTCTGGACAAGATGATGGTTTGTCATGCCAGCATGTAAAATAGATTCAAAGGTGAATACCATGAAAAGCTGAATAGAAGTCCCAGGCCTTTGACTTATGCCTACTTAGCCATCTTAGATTAACATGAATAAGTAACACCAATCTGTTATCCACAGATGACACAAAGCTGAGAAGCAGAGCTAAAATAACAAAAGATAGATCAAGATTCAAATTGCTGAAAGACTAGGTCAAAAAAAAGATGAAATTTAACACACATGTCAAATCCTACATGTGTGAAGTGGTTGAGTAAGTCCATTTCTAGCTTCAGGTCATGCTGTCCCTGCTTCTCTCAAACTTCTAGTCCTAAAAGCTACTATGAGGAAGGGTTAAGTTGACCCTAGCCTTACCGTGTAACATTGTTGATGTAGGGTGGTGGGAAATGTTGCTTGTTTTGTTTTGAAGTAGCTATTTGAAAAATTGGTGATTCCGTGATTTTAGATGTTAGGTGACTTCAGATGTTTAGATTCCTATAAAACTTGAGTCTGAGTGGACTGCACTTAACAGTCCTGGGCTGAGGAACCTCCCTGGTGGTGCAAGGGGTTAAGTCTCAGCACTATGAAACTATCTACATCACAAGTTCAACCCCAGCCAGGGAGGTCACCCACATGGTGCAACAGAACTCTCCTGCTCCCCTCAGCAGTATATTTTGGTGGATCTGCCTGTTCTACTCCCCACTCTGTCTCTGGTGAATCCTCTCACCCCCTGCACCTCTGGCTTACACCCAGTTCTTGCATAAATAAATAAAACAAATCTTTAAAAAAAAAAAGTGCCTGTCTGATTAGCTGGGAGAGAAGTGGTAGGTTTGTGCTTCGCTAGTGCTTTAGTCTGTGACTCAGATAAACCTGCTAGGAGGGAGCACTTTGGGAGGTTAATTCTTCTGCCCTCAAGATCCCTACAATGCCTTTTCTTTTCTCAGGATGGGGCCTAGAAGGAAGGGCAGTTCTGGGCATCCCTTGTTGCTTCAGCTGTCATTTATCAAAAGGCCTCTTCCCTTTGTCTTTATGATCTTTATGCTATTCTCACCTCTATATTGTCTTTAAAAATCAATGATCCTAAGTTTATGTGGCAGAAAGAGATTGATAACACAAGCTCCAAGAGGTGAAGGCTGTAAAATGGCAGATGTCAGCACAATGTAGGACAAAAAGAAAGAACTTTTCTGACTGAAATTCAGTGTAAGACCAGGCTGGGTTACTGGACACCAGAGTTGTTCGAGCTGAGGCCGATGACCAACTATCGGGAGACTGTGAAGGAATTCCTATGCAGGGTGGGACGTTGGTCCTGTCCAATTCCCAGCTCCTATGATTCATTCTGCTGGCTACTCCTAGAGGCGCCCCACCCGCTGTGAACATGCCCTTTGAAGTAGTCCATTTCTTTCTTCCATTTCTTTCCCAGGAGCAGACCAAGGCACAGGATGTCATAGGAGCAGCAGCCCTTCTGCTGGAGGGCGTGATGGCAGCACGGGGACAACTGGGGCCCAATTGCCTCTCATCTCTCCTGGGACAGCTTTCCGGACAGGTCCGCCTCCTCCTTGGTGCCCTGCAGGGCCTTATTGGAACCCAGGTAAATCCCCAGTCAAGGGAACTATAAAAGTTGTCCTCTTCTGGCTCATTCCCTTAGAAGACCAGAGGGGAGAATGGGAAATTCTAGGAATCTTGAAATCTTGAGGGTGGGAGAGCTGACTTTCCAAGAAGTGCTGCCTCTCAGCCACAAAACCTGGGTTCTGGTACCCTGTCTTCCCCATGTAATCGAGGGAGGCATATATAGCCCAGGTCTCTGGCCTCAGGCCCGTCCTCTGCCCTTAGCTTCCTCCACAGGGCAGGACCACAGCTCACAAGGATCCCACTGCCCTCTTCCTGAGCTTCCAACAACTGCTCCGAGGAAAAGTGCGCTTCCTGCTGCTTGTAGTGGGACCCACCCTCTGTGCCAAGCGGACCGTACCCACCGCAGCTGTCCCAAGCGGTGCCTCTCTATCCCTCTCATTGAGCAAGTTCCCAAACAGGACTTCTGGACTGCTGGAGACAAACCCCAGTGTCTCAGCCAGAACTACTGGCTCTGGGCTTCTGAAGAGGCTGCCAGGATTCAGAGCCAGGATTCCCGGTCTGCTGAACCAAACCTTCAGGTCCCTGGACCGAATCCCTGGCCACCTGAACAAAACACACAGCCCCTTGAATGGAACTCATGGACTCTTTCCTGGACCATCACCCAGGGCCCTAGGACTCGTGGACATTCCTCAAGGAACTTTGGACACAGGCTCCCCAGCACCTGACTTCCAGCCTGGATATTCTTCTCTATCCCATTCCCCTACTGGGCGATATACACTTTTCTCTCCTTCACCCACTTTGCCTACCCCCATGGTCCAACTCCAGCGCCCACTTCATGACCCCTCTGTTCTTGTGCCCAACACTACCAGTCCTCTTCTAACTACAGCCCACCCTCACTTCCAGAATCTGCCTCAGGAAGAGTAAGGAATTCCAGGACTGCCAATGTCCACACTGTCTCCCTGTGTAATTCCCTTATGTGGAGAAGCCCTGAGACATAGCTGCAGCTAGACCAGATTCCCTGCTTTCACCTGAACCCCAGTCCTGGTAAGGAGGGATGCACAGGACAGAAAAAGGAATCATTTTTCACTATATATTATAAAACGTCAGAAGCTATTTTTTTAAGCTACCAATAATATTCACCAGAGCAGCTAGTTATCTTTGGTCTATTTTCGGCATAAATTTACAACTTACTTTCTACATGCTCTTTTTCATAAGATAACCCTGCAGAGGCCTGCAATGGCCTGGTCTCTGATTAGAGAGACTAACCTTGTATCAGAGAGAAAAGTTTGGTTTTTCTGCTCCAAAGTTAAGATTAGTCTTTTTTTTTTTCTTTTTAAGATTTTATTTATTTATGCACACAAGATCTGGGGTACAGGCCAATGGTGCAGGAGGTGAGAGGACTTACCAGACAGAATGGGGAACAGAACGGGCAGATTGATTAAAATACACTGCTGAGGGGAGCAGCAGACAAGACAGGAGAGATCTTCTGTGCCATATGGGTCACCTCCCTGGCTGGGAATTGAACACATGCTGCAGTGGCTTTAACTCACTGCACCATCAGGAAGAGCCCAAGGTTAGTCTTTTTATATCAATGGGACTCTCATCTCCCTCTTTTTAGGCGCTCCTTACTCTTGGAAAATTGACAAGTTGTCTCTCAGGAAGGCTGTCCCTACACAGTAGTCAAACCTGAACTTACACAAATAACGAGAGAACCAAACACATAACCCAAAAGCAAGAATTTCTTGGGAGGTTGGGTTCATTGGCAATGGCAATACGGTCTACCTACACACCGGTCTACCTACACACCCTCCATCCCCAACACCCCTTAAAAAAGAGAGAGAAAGAAAGCTAACAGGAAGCCTTAGAGAGCTTCACACCCCAGGTAAAGCTGTGCAGACAGTTCAGTCAAGACAAGTCTTGGATGTGACAGCTGAGCAAATAGCTGGGGCTTCAGCAGCTCAGCAGGAAGTTTCACCAGGCATGGGTTCCTGCCTCCCCCCTGTGGAGGTCAGGGGGAAGTGCAGGAAGTGGCAAGACTCCGTCTCCAAGGGCTCACACAGCAGGAGAGACAAGCACAAGTCAAGTGCGAGATTGAAGGTTCACTTCCCAGTTCCCAGAAGTATTATCTATTCAATGGGATCCAAAAAGTGACCCCATGTGACTACCATAAACTCTGCCGGAAGACCTCTAAAAAAAAGCCATGCTTACAGAGCTTTGCAAGTAAATATCACCTTGGTGCTTAGGAAGATATTTTTATTGCCCGAAACAAAAATTCCCTTGCAAAGGTCATTGCTACTTCTGAGGGCTCCAGTAGGAAAACTACTAAGGAAGCTTCTTTTTCTCCATCTCCCACCCCACAAAGGTGAGAAAAGGCCACCAGGTAGGCAGGGGAGCCAGCAGTCTACAATGGTTTCACAGCCTGAAAGCAGAAAAGCAACACCACAGGCTGACATTGGTGTGGAGCCTGTGTTGTCCCAGTGGGGCACAATGTCCAGTGTATCACTCAGGGATTCTGCTTCTCAAGGAGAGGTTCCAAGTCCCTAGGAAGTAAGTACATCAACAGTGAAGTTCTAAGTAGAAAATCAAAGTTCCTGGTGGGGGTGCCCAATTCAGACCTGTCAGGTGTCCCTCTCTCCCATCATGAACAGAACAGTTGCCATGGAGAAGCAGCCAACAAGTGCACAATGCTCAAAAGGGTTATTCAAATCTTGGATGGTGTCAATTTCTGCAAGGGAGAAAACCAGTTCATCCACACTACAAATTCCAGCTTGTAGTCAAGAGAATGGTTAAGTGGAAATTACTGAAACACTGAAGGTTAAATCTAATGAGCAAATGAAACTTTATGGTACACACAAGAGCCAGCACTCATGACGATATGCCAAAGGGACCGGTTTTCAGCACTGATGAAAAGACAAGGATGACAAAACTGGAAAATGTAGCCAGAAAGTTCCAGACAGCCAATATTGGCATTTGACTTTCTCTGAGGCAAATGTAAATATCTCCTGAGCCTCTTCAGTATGCACTAATCTGCACCTGTGGAGGAACTAACCCATTCCAAATCTTTCTGATTCTACTTCTTCTTCCCTATATAGTAAGAACAGAAAACTGCTAGAACCAGAATACCCTTGTCTTCAATCATCTGTATGCTAGTTCTTTCTTCCGCCCCTCCAGAGCAGTTAGGCAGTCTGGAGGCTACGCTACAAACTATTGCTGGTAATTAATATAACCTAAATACATCTTTCTCCACCCCTCACCTGTCCTCTGCTCCACCCCCCAAGCTTGACTCCATGAAAGGCTTAAATTATATAAATTTCACCCCAACCCCCACTGTACCTCCTATTTGCCTTTCCCTTCCCCCTACTCTCCTGTAAGGCAAAAACAAAACAAAACAAAACAAAAAAAACACCCTTTTCCTCCCTCCCCTGCAGAGGCTACCCATTTTCACCCCATTTCCCTAAATGCTATTTCTAACACCTCAAGTAAAGACCTGAAAATGATGGGGAAGGAAATACACCAGGCATCCCAGCAGGCGGCCCAACTCCCATGGCAAAACCAGATCAAAGAGACAACTGCTTAATACACAGTCACAGTCTTTCTGGATCATTACCTGGAATTTCCCAGGGGAAAAGACAGTCCCATATAACTCCTCAGAGACCTCAAAGTTCAGGGCTAAAGAGCCAGCTCCTATGTGGGAGCTCTTGTAAGCACTACCATTTCCTCAACTTTGTTCTTCCTCCATTTTTAAGTTAGTGACTGCAGTCAGGCTGCTGCATTGTCCTGGGCACTGCCACTGGACTGCCAAACTCATTGATATTGCTGCCCTGTCCACTTCACTGGTCTCTGCAGCAGCTCCCTGTTCAGTGTCACTGGTAATCACCACCACTTACCTTCCCCTCCAGATCACCACTAGAATGTAGAACAGAGAGCTAGCTCCTCCACCTGCTCCTATAACCACCCAAACACTCTTCCTTTTCTCCTCAAAGTCACATCTCATGCCCGTGTCTAAAACCTTCCACCCAAAGCTTCCATAAAATGATGAACATTTCCAGGCTATGCAAGTGACTCATTCAATTCAGCGTGATCTGACTTCCTAAGAGAATGAAAGTATTAGAAGGACATGAGCTGGGCTCCTTGCCAATTCAAAATTCTATGCCAGATGGGTGGTATCTTCCGGGCCTAGGGTGCCCTCAGGAGCCAAAAGTGCAACATTTTCTCTCCCGGACAGAAAATAACATTGGAGGATAAGTGCTGGGAATAGTCAGTGAGGAGAATAAGATAACACTGAACTCAGATACCAAAAAGCAAAGACAGTGCCTACACTGATGTCATCTAGCTGTAGGTGAGAAACATAATATACCACAGATGAACTGGAAAAAAATAACTTTAAATTAAAAAAAAAAATTAAAAGGAAAGAAGAGTCTGGAAAAGTAGAGTTTAATGTTTTAAAAAACCATATACACAAAACAACTTCTGATTCCTTTAAGCCCTCCACAGGTCTGTTTTTTTCCCAGGCAAGTCTGTTTCTCAATGAGTGCAGACCACCCCAAGATGCACCTACAGTGAACAGAGATAGTCCCTCCTGGACAGATGAACAGCAGCACCTACTGCTCAGGCCAGAGTGACTGTCCAGGCCTGAGAGACTAAGTAGCAAGGTGGGCTTCCTGGGTGGTTCAGAAGGCCAGTTTCTTCATCAGCAGATAAACTCTGGAATCTACTTCAAATCCATGAAGGTTGTTGGCATCACCCTGCAGCCTCATGAGCAGGCCCCCATAGGACACATAGGCAGATCTGAAACAGAAGGCCCAACCCCATGAGTCTGAGCTTTGGGGTGGGACTGCTGAGTAGTTCTCCATCCCACCCCAATAAATAGGCATCCTTTTGGTATTTGGTCATTAGGAACCAAAATTCTGACCAAGACAAATGCATAGATATGTGCTAAGCGTTCTTTATATTATCAAAGGTAGAAAATACTACATGCACATAAAGGAAATAGTCAAATGAATGAAGATTCTATTTACTAGAATGTCATGCAGCTATTAACATGTTTAGGAAAAGCTTTAAACTGCCATGAAGAAACATGTTTTACATGACATTAGGCAAACAGAAAACATAATAAACATGATCTCAAAGGAAAAAAAGTGCACAATAAAAAGCCTAGAATATCCAAAAATGTTTAATGTAAAAGTTTTCTCTGGATATGAAATTATAGGAGACATTTTTTTCCTTTTCACATCTCTGTTTTTCAAATTTCCCACAAAGGGGACATACTGTTTTAATAATATTTTAAAGAAAAAAAAAATAGTTGAGTAGGGAAATGAAAGAACTAGGGATTAGGTTGCAGAGTAGCAAAACATACACACACAAATAAACAAAAACAAAAAGCCTAGAGGTTTAATCACTTAATGCTGCATTTGGTTCCTGGGAAGCAATCTTCCTGTGCACTTTACACAGTGAGATTACCAGTTTCTCATTTGGCCCACTGGCCTCCGAGGTCCTGGCAAAGCCCGGCAAAGGGAACAGACTATATTTCAGAATGAAACTATTCCTAGAACAGTTTCTCTCTGAGTTACTCCTAGGTGTGACGTGCTTGGGGACAGGGATTTTAACACAGGAAGAATGAGTGCAGCTGAGATTTTCAGAGCCGGGCCCAAATTCTCAGAACAGGGAGGGAAGACGGGAAGGAAAGGGTTCTCACAAAACAACGGCACTTACAGACGTGTTGCCGCTTCAGTAGAAGTTTCATCTCCCTCAATCCTGTACACTTTCCCATACATTACATACTCAAACTGATCAGCCCTATGAAACAAGAGTGACAAAGTTATTCTTAAAAGCAGTTAATAATAAAACACCCTTTTTAAAAAAAATGGTAACTGCTATAGTGTCGGTAACTATATGCTAACACTTTCCAAACATGGTATCATTTAGTCCTCAAGCAACCCTATGAGCTAGGGGTAGATAATCATATGTGTTTTATGGTGAGGGAACAGGCTAAAAGAGGTTAACATTATTCAACAAATAAATGGTAGGCCTAGATTTGAACTCAGTGGGCTCTAAAGCCTTCCGGTCACACCAAATTCCCTCCCAAGACATCAGACTCATACAGCCTAAATCACTCAGTGGTCATTTCCTCAGCCATCAAAAAACTGCAACTCCCAGGCATGCAGTCACTGCATCAGAAAAAATACATGGTTATTTGGATTCTTAAGTGCAGCGATTTCCTTAAGGTTATTCAGATTCCACAGCTAGTTCATTTATTCTACAGATTAACTGTCTTTCTATACGACTTATTTACTTAGTTCTCAGTATCCCTTCTGTGTTCCTTCACCTGGATGGCCTGTCATCTGTGGGGTTGTATTCACCGTCATCCAAGGTACCATCTTCATACAAGGTACTGGCTATAACCAACCGGAACTTGTCACCTGAAAATAACAGCAATAGCTGAGGATAAAGAACAGCTGACATGACAAAAAGTATCCTGCTGTTTCTGTGTTCAATACTTACCCAAGTCTACAGGGTATATCTGAATGTTCACATCCAAGATGAGGTCCATCTTGAAAGACTCACTTTCACAATGTAGTCGAGACACTGGAGGGAACAGAATGACAGATGATCACCATGCCCAGCACAGACCCTCAAGACCTCACTTTAGAGGATTATATGCAATAAAACACATAATTTAACCCAGTCTGCATCCATTGGCCTCTCATCTGCTCTCAAATAAGTACCAGTTCAATCAGAATTAGATATGCAAAAAGGAAAGGGAAGAAAAACTATGGCAAGCAGAAAGAATTCCCAGAAAAGAATCAAAAGTCTCTGGTAGCAAATAATAAAAGGTCCCAAGACTACCTAATAAGAAAACTAAGTAGATTAAAACAATGTCCCAATAAATGAGAGAAAATATTAACATTACATGATCAATAAGTATTTCCTAGCCAAGACATATTTTTTAAAAATCTTATATAATTTACCCAAAAAAAAGTAACAAATAGCGTATCCAGAAGCCCAATACATATATGGGAAAATGTTCGTCATTGCTTTGAATAAGGGAAATACACATCAAAATCACAATGAGAATGGCATATATTGAAAATACCCCCAACAAGAAGTGTGGGAGAGAATGTGAAGAGGAACACTATTAACCTAATAGTGAGAATGTCTACCAGTGCAGCCATTTTGAAAAGCAATGTGTATTTACTTAAAAAAAAAGCAAAACCTGGGCCCTCCCTGGTGGCTCAGCGGGTTAAAGCACTGCACTGAGAAGCTAAAGCCACTTCCGCATGAGTTCGATTCCCGCCTGCCCCAGAGGTGATCACATGGTGTGGCAGACCTCTCCTGACCCACCCGCTGCTCCCCTCAGCAGTGTACTTTAACCCAGTCTGCATCCACTCTGTCTCTGGTGAATCCTCTCACCCTCCGCATCTCTGGCCTGTACCCCAGTTCTGTATGAATAAAAAAAAAAGCAAAACCTAAAAATGGAAGGGAAGAAAGAGTAACTCTCATATGACCCAGCAATCCCAGTGAAAAACATGAAACCAGGCCCTCCCTGGTGTCACAGCGGATTAAAGCACAGCACTAAGAAGCTAATGCCACTTCAGCATGAGTTGGATCCCCACCCCAGAGGTGACCCACATGGCTTGGCAGACCTCTCCTGACCCGCCCACTACTCCCCTCAGCAGTACTGGTACTTGGTCAGTCCACCTGTTCTGCTCTTCACTCTGTCTCTGGTGAATGCTTTCACCATCCCGCACCTTTGGCCTGTACCCCAGTTCTATATGTATAAATAAATAAATCTTAAAAAAAAAGCATGAAACCATCAACACAAAAATATTACGTTCCACAATGTTTGTCACAGTAGTATTCACATACTAGTTATTATGACATGGAACCAACCAAAGTGACCACTCATTGAGGATTAAGATTTGCTGTATATACTACTCAGTTATAGGTAAGATAAAATGTTGCCACCTACCACAAAAGGGAAGGAGTTGGAACAATCGAGAACTTATTGGACATTTTCATAAGGGGCTGTTGGACAAAGCAAAATATTTATAAAAACGAATAATAAACTAATAAATGAAGTGAGGCTTCTGAGGTTAAAGGAAATGGGGCAGAAAAAGGGTCAAGGGAGTATAAAGGATGTGGGGGGGGGAAGTATGTGAACTGTAGGGAAATACTGTTAAAAGTCTGACTTTGGCAAGTTATTCATTCATCCAAAGATTTCATCATTCTGAGCCAGGCACTGTGCAGAGGGGATTATCAGAACATGTAAGAATTGGTCTTTAACTGGAAGAAACTGAAATCAGGCCAAGAAACTCCTGGCAGAGGAGTTTTGATCAATGACAAGAAAAAGATATATACCAACCAGTTAACTCTTAGGAAGGAGTCAAAAATTCTGAGTGCAAGACAAGTACACAGGCCCTGAAGCAGCATTACTCGCGGTGTAATCTTACATCAAGTTACCTAACCTCTCCGAGCAAAAAGGGTAAGACACCACCCACCTCGTGGAATCTCCGGGAGGAATAAAGACCTAGTGTGCGGTGCACAGTACAGCGCCAGCACAGACAGGGCAACGGAGAGATGCCCAGGGGCTTGCTAGAACCATGCGAACAAGCCGACCAGGGCCCCGGGCACAGCTCACGTGAAGTCACAGAAAGCCGCAGCCTGTTTCTCGGCCATAAAATGCCTCCAGGGGGCGTTCCCCACATCAGGACCTGACCGTAGGGGAGACCACGTGAGCTGGATGGACTAGGGGCCCAGGGGCGTGTCCCGAGAGGTTAGCCTCGTCGCCCAAACCGCCCCTACATACCTTACTTACCTCGGTCAAACTTCTTGCCCTCCGGGTCAATGTCTTTCACATCAAAAATATCCTCAAACAGGATGCCCGCCATAGTGAGCGGGCAAAGCAGAGAGGCCGAGCGCGCGACCGCGACTAGGGGTACGCGCACCCGCCCGCGTGGAGAAAAGGAGACGGGAAGGTAAAAAACGCCGCGCCTGAGAAGCGGCAGCAAAGTTGTAGGACGACGCATGCGCACTGACAGGCGCGGGTGCCACCATTTCCGCCGCTTAGTTCTCGGGGCTTCTCAACTTCCGCCCCGAGAGACTGCTTCCGCGAAGCTCCGGCGTGGGGGCGGGTCTCTGGTCCAGATAACTCCGCCTCGGGGCGGGGACACAATAGAGCCCAACTCCGGTCGAGATGGCGCGGTTTCTCACTGCAGCGGCTCCACTGCGCCCTCTTCAGAGTCCCGGTCCCAAAGCCTGGAGCCTACCCAGCCAGGGACCTTGATCCTTGGCCCAGAGAGCCCGGCCCTGGCCCTACCCAGGTCCGCGTGCCCGCCGAGGGCACAGTCCGTGCCGAAGGCGGGCGGAGCAGACCCCGCCCCCAGCTCAATGGCTCTGCAGAGCGCAGTGCCCAGCCCCTCAGCTGGCACCAAGGTCCCCCAGGCCGGCCCGGGCTGGCTCAGCCCTGCTGGATGACACCCGAGCCGGATCCGTTCAGTTTGGGAATTTGCCATGATGTCACTATAGGGAAGAGGGAAGCCTGCACTGTCCCTTGCCACCCCTGGGCCGTTCTCCAGCTCCATACCACCCTTTCAGTCTGGCGTTAACCTCACCATACCGCCCTCCTCCTAAGCACTGCCCATTCACTTTGGTACTGCCCGTGGCCCCACCACTGTCACGGTCCTCTGGACACTGATCTCTGTGCCCCTTCATCCTGACACTGTCCTCTCCCATGGAGCCCAAGCTCTTCCCTCCCATGCCCTTCTCGGGTGCTCACTGTTCTCAAACTGCCCCCTTCCTGGGTACTGCCCCCTCCCTTGGGCACTGCCTCCGCCTCCCACATGTCCCTTCATCCTGGTACTGCCTCCACACAGCCTGTTCTCCCGGGCATTGGCCTCTCCCCAGACACTATCTCTGACATTGCCCATCCACCCTGTGCTCACCCCACCTCAGTTCTACCCCACTCAGGACCCTGAAAGACCCGGGCATTGGCCTCTCCCCAGACACTATCTCTGACATTGCCCGTCCACCCTGTGCTCACCCCACCTCAGTTCTACCCCTCTCAGGACCCTGAAAGAGAACGCAGAGCGCCAGCAGGCGGTTTCCCCAAGGCAGTGAGACGTCAGCAGCTACTCGGGTTTCTCCTTAGGCCCGGCCAAGGAGAAGCGACCTCTGTCCCCCCACGCCCGCCTCCCAAGAACGGCCTCCCAGGCACCTAGACCTCCCTTCCCTGGGGCCTCACCCCTTCCCGTTCCTTCCCCGCCTCCTAGCCCGCACACCCCGCAGGCCTGGTTGCTCCAGGAGTCCCGAGGAGGTGGGGGAGGGACAGTTCAGCGAAGAGCCTCGTAGGAGGGAAAGAGACTGGGAGGGGGTGAGCGAGATCGCGGTCTCAGTTCCGGGCACCCCCCCCCCATCTCTCTGGGCCCAGCGTCCCGCTCGAGTCCCTCCAGCTTTGCTCCTCACCCCCGACGGAGAGGGCCGTCGCCAGGCCCGCCTGCGCGGTTCCCTCCGGGGATGCAGAAGGGCGCCATTCCAGGGAGATAATGGGCCCGAAGTGTCCGCTTTAGAGCGCTTTGCAGCCCCTGGCCCCAAGCCCTACCGAGCCCCAGCGTCTCCAGCCCCTCCCGCCCCGGCGCGGAGCC